TCAATTCATCAGACCTACAAATATCTTTGAATTTGTAGGTCTGATGAATAGGATCGTGATTACGATTCCAATATAATAAATTATAACCAAGGAATATTAGTGTTTGAGCCTTTTATATTATATTCTTACTCTGTCCTGGACATTGAGTTCTACCTGGATTCTATGTTCTTGGGAATCTATCTATCTATCTCTCTATCTCTCTCTCTCTCTATATATATATATATATATATGTGTGTGTGTGTGTGTGTGTGTGTGTGTGTGTGTGTGTGTGTGTTTTGGCTTTAATTAACTGAGTTTCCATTAAAAACTGAACTTTCCCTTTTAGTTTCATATATTTTAACTGAATTCATAAATACAAGCTACAATTGAATTGGCGTCTTTCTTTTTAACAAATAAAATATACAAATAAAATTTTTTTAAAAAACTTAAAAAATAAAAACAAATTTCAAAGATCAAGTGGAAAAGTTCAAAGTTCAAATGAGGAAGACGGCGTGGAGTATAAGTTCAGCTTCGTATATCAATGTTCATCTGTTTTCATGATTCACGCTTTTTATTCCCATTCGTCAAACATTTTGGTTTGTTTTTTGTTTTGTTGTTTGTTTGTTTCATGATGGATTGGAACCTCTGTTTCAGCCCATGTCAGACCTGAGAAGCCTATGGATATATTTTGCATTCACACGTGCAGCAATTTCCTCCTAACGTCACTTACCGTCACACTTTGATAATATCTGTTCACGCACATTACATATATGTATACATACATAAATATTTGATATCTTTACAGAGTATAAGATACATAATGGTCGTTAACACTCGAGTCTTATACAACATTAATTGTAAACAGAGATTCCAAATTCTCGAAGTCTATATAATAAAAAAGAAAGAAGAAAAAGCTATAATACTTTAGATTAGGAAAACGGGTATTGTAAATATTCAGTAAGTGTTGAATGCACGGATCGTCAAAGAAGCTGGAATCGGCAATCCGAGTTCAAATACTGTTGCAGTGACTTTCACACAAATGTCATTTTTTTATATACCTAAATACCTAATAATATATATAGTTATAAATATGTATATATATATGTGTGTGTGTGTGTCTGCTTATAAAAACAGTCATTTTGATTTTGCTAACCAGACGCTTCTCTGTAGATATTTGGTATAGCCGATCAAAAATAGATAAATTCAACTTTTTTCCTCCGATTTCGTTCAAACTCGGTATGTAGGATACTTACATCTTGATGAGCTCAACGATATCTCATCTTTATTTCCACGCCACTGCATTTGGCGAAAAACTGAAAAAACGAAAACCCGATTTCAACACAAATTTTAAACTAAAATCTCCCTCAATTTGTAAGCAATCTAATACAAACTTCACTCAATTGTTGCCAACAATAAGTTGATTGTTTAACAGGCATTTAACGTGATAATTGAGTCCACCCATATAATAAAAACCCGCGTAAATAGCGAAAAATAGCAATTTTTACTGGTTTCTTTATTTTTCGTTGAAGTTTTAACCAATTTTCATCAAACATAAGAATTGCTTTATAAATGTATCCTCTTTTACATCCCTGGTAGCACACTGACAAATTGAATTTCAAAAACACCAAAATAATTGTGGTCTTAAGTGGGTCTTCATGTTCCCCGTTTTACCCATTCATGTCCTCGGCTAACTTCGATTGAATAAATACAGACTACTTCTATTAAATCAGTAACTGCATTAATTCAAAGTGTTTTTTTAATGAATGTACTTTAAAGTAATTGAAGAAGATAGACTCTTTTTTCATCTAAACATATTGCTGTTTTTGCTCCATTCTAATTGAACGCTTTTTTCTGATCGACCAGCCGAGTATTGCTGCTAGTTATTGATATAAGTATACAATATATTTTTGTATGTAATGCACTTACTTTTGCCGTAATCAAGTTATCTCCTTTGAACTGACAATGCCAGAACTGCTCAAATAAAGCCAGATTAAAAAGACTGGTTCCACAAAAAAAGCAAGAACAACAATATTAAGCGGAAAAATTTAAAAACTCACATGTGAAATCCTACGAATTAGAGAAAGAACTTAACACAATATGCCGCCATTTTTATAGCATATTTTTTTAATACTAGAATTCACCCAATGCAAGACTCAAGAGCCACTCAAAGTAGAAGGTTACTGTTAAAATAATAATGCTATATAAGGTGTTGAGAAATAAAGGTGAAAAGAATAAGGGGGATAAATAACAATTGACCCATGAAAAAGAGTTAAACATGTAGTGTTCAGGGAAGTACTGTGTGAATGAAACTTTCTTCTTACATTTGGAATACATAGGAAATGAGGATGATTCAACTCGGTATAGTCTGTCATAGCTATAAAAGTCTGAATTGGTGGAACTAAAGAATGGAGCTCATCTGACCATTTGCCATGGAAACATCAATAGAGTAATGATTGGCTTGCAAAGTAACATCTGAGAGAAAAATTCTACAGAGTACAGAATAAGTCCTCCTCCCACACTGCAAGATCATGTACATGATGTTGAAATCTGTCAAGGCTGGAAGGTGAGGATTGAGTCGATCAAGCCCAAATATGACAGCAATACTCGATTTCTTAGTCTAATCAGATTCTTTTCAAGATAAAGCATGCCTGAAGGAGTTAAGTGTCTTCTGGGCCAGTAAAGTAAATCGAGTTTTTTTTTTTTTTTTGTAATAGATCATTTTTATGAGTTTCAATTGAGGTCTGGAGTGAAATTCAGACATTTGAAGCAAGGAGCCTCATCGTCATGGCTCTTTCTAGTACTGATCGGTGTTTCCTTCCAAGCTAGTATGGAAAATCAGTATCGTGACTTAGTCATTATTTTCCCTTCCAGTTACATGTTATCCATTTTAGTTCTTGCCGCTGTTGGAAGTCTTCAAATGATGGTGTCGTCCTGGGTATGACGATAAACTACATCCAACAGCAAGACCTCTAATCGGGAGGTTTTGAGGAGCGTGGAATCACTTCTTAATTGCTGTTGTTCCCAGGTCCACCCTGACCTGAGATGGTAGCGCCTATTTTGGTCCCAGTTATGGGAAAATAGTTACTCCCCATCACACACACACCAATAAATATTACCAGCAATATATTTTAAGAAATATATATATATATATATATATATATTAAATAAAAACAGACCCCTTTAAGGTTCCATGTCCGCTGTCCTTTAAAAGGGCTGTGGTGAAATAATTTATTACATGGAACCTTAAAGTGGTCTGTTTTTATTTAAATTATTTGCTCTGGATTTACATTGAGCTCTCTGGATTTTATCCCCCTTGGGTTTACCCATACAGATTATCTAGTTTTCCATAAACTAAATATATATATATATATATATATATATATATATATATATATATATATTTTCCAACAATAGATTTGACTCTCTACAAAAACTCACTTTACAAAAATACGTCAATGAAACCTGATATACAAACTGATTTCTTACAAAGAATACTAATTTTATTCATACAAACGTATCTGTCTATATTTCTGAGATGAGGCATTATGCACACTATTTACATTATTCGGACTATTGTGCTCATCTTTATTGCCATATTTATCACAAAGTTTCTGCCGTTGTACACTCCGGCCTTCTTCAAGTGGTTGAAATGTCGAATAACGGCCGAAACGTTGTAATAAATACGTCAACAAAGATGGGGACAATATTCTAAAAATCATGTCAGCGTTAAATAACCCATTGAGGTATTGATATGCCATAAAACAAAATAAACCAAATAATGTGGTTTTTGTTTAATTGGTAAAACTCTTTGGCAACATTTAAGATCTGATGAAAAACGGTCATCTTCGCATGAAGCGATTCTTAATTATTGAACTGAAAAAACAGAGGTATATACACCCTTGTGAAAATTAATTGAAATAACCGCTTTAGTTTCCATTCTTTCAGTTTTTAGTTTTCTTTCTTACGGTCAGTTTTAGACCTACTGGAGTGACAGGGTGTAATCGATTGCAATTTCTTCCTCATATTAGATCATTTGCAGTGGTGTGCAATAATATGAATCTATTTTCAGGGTGTATAATGAAATTTGTTTGGCCTTGAAAATATTGCGTCATCCATAATTGCATCAGGTTTTCATCACGCCCAGACACTATTGTCTCGTCTGTCAATTAGTTGTCCTACGGACATTGTCTGCGATGGACGTTACTCCAAGGAAGCGTACAAAAATTGTAACGCTGCACAAAACACACTGGCAAGCCTTACCAGTAAGCAAGTCAAAGTACTAGCGACTGGCTCGGAAACTCTCGTGATTTAAATCCAGTCGAGAATCTGTGGTCAATCTGCAAGGAACGACTTCATGGAATGGACATACGAAGTACTAACATGTGCACTGGGAAATGTTCAATGGAAAAATCAGAAAAATGTAAATAATAATGGAATTATTCTTTTTGTTTCAATTAATTTGCATAAGGGTGTAGTTGATAATTTAAACATTTCTAAACGAATTGGGCGCCATGCTTGACATCGTAATTCTGTATACTAGTTTCACAAATGTATTGACAGTGGGCGTTCGAAGATTATTATGTCGTGCCAAATTACAACAGCTATATCTACCTTTAGGTATGGTTTTCGGAATTACTTTCATTTATTTTACACGAATCGAGGCACACATCATGTTAGCAATATAACTTGCGCCGTTCGTTTTGATACATATACGATACTAAGTTGATATGAACAAATCAAGATTGCGCCGGCGACAAGTGGCGTAGGAAAAAGTCAACCAGCCTCGAGGAAAAAAAAAATTGACACCCCATTCGCGTTCATCCCACCAATTCCAGGAAGGTGTGGTTTTAGTGTTATGACCCCTTTTTACAAAAAAAGAAAAATCCCCGGCCCTGTTATCACGTTGCCACCCTGCACAAAAGGGTAGGGGTTGTCAGTAATAAACTGACGGCTGTTCAACGGGAACAACACCAGCTGGTGGGACAAAGTGCTTGGAACCGTAGAAAAAACACTCCGGGAGTATTTCACGCTTTCGTAGGCACATCCAACGTACTAATCATTACAATCTCTATGGGCATTACACAATTATGTATGTCTTTCTTTCCTTTCTTTCTTTCTTTCTTTTCTTAAAATCCTTCTTTTTTTTCTTTCTCTCTTCTACCGTACACAATTCATCCTTTCTTTCTATTAAGAATTTGCCCGTTTATTACTTGTTTTCTTTCTTTCTTTCTTTCTTTCTTTCTTTCTCTAATTCCCACTTCCCATGCTAAATCTTTTTTTTCTTTTCTTCTTTCTTTCTCTCCTTTTTCTCCCTTTCTTTCTCTTTCCAATGCTCACTTTGCTATATCTTTCTTTCTCACTTTCCTTTTTTCCTTCTTTATTTCCGCTCCGAGTCTCATTTTGTTATATTTTTCGATCCTTTTTTTCTTTCTTTCTTTCTTTTTTCTTTCTTTCTTTCTTTGCTTTAATTTCTGTTCTATTTACATACCACTTCTTTCGTTCCTTCTTTCTTTCTTTCTTTCCTTAAAATCCTTTTTCTTTCTTTCTCTTTTCTACTGTACACAATTTATCCTTTCTTTCTATTAAGAATTTGCCCGTTTATTACTTGTTTTCTTTCTTTCTTTCTTTCTCCAATTCCCACTTCCCATGCTAAATCTTCTTTCTTTCTTTTTTCTTTCTTTCTTTCTTTTTTCTCACTTTCTTTCTCTTTCCAATGCTCACTTTACTATATCTTTCTTTCTAACTTTCCTTTTTTCCTTCTTTCTTTCCGCTCCGTGTCTCACTTTGTTATATTTTTCGATCCCTTTTTCTTTCTTTCTTTCTTTCTTTCTTTCTTTCTTTCTTTCTTTCTTTCTTCAATTCTCACTTTGTTATATCTTTCTTTATTTTTCTTTCTTTCTTCTTTCTTTTTTCTTCCCAATTCTCACTTTGCTATTTCTTTCTTTCTTTTTTCTTTCTTTCTTCTTTTTTCTTTCCTTCTTTCTTCCCAATTCTCACTTTGCTATTTATTTATTTATTTCTTCAATTCTCACTTTGTTACATCTTTCTTTCTTTCTTTTACTTTCTTTCTTCTTTCTTCTTTCTTTCTTTCTTTCTTTCTTTCTTTCTTTCTTTCCAATTCTCACTTTGCTATTTCTTTCTTTCTTTCTTTTTTCCTATCTGTCACTGGTTTTTCCACACAGTTCATAATTCATTTTATTTCTTAATCGACTTCTTTCTTTATTTCTTTTTTCTTTCAATTTTTTCTTCCTTTCTCTCTTTCGTTCGTTCCTTCCTTCGTTCTTGATTGTTTGCATTTTCCGCACGCAATTCGAAATTTGACCTTTCTTTCTTTTTTTATTCACGATTCAAAATTCATTCTTTCTTAGTCGGCTTCTTTCTTTCCTTCTTTCTTTCTTTCCTTCTTTCTTTCTTTCCTTCTTTCTTTCTTTCTTTCTTTCAGTATTTCTTTCTTTCTATTCTCAATCCACAGTTTGCCGTTTCTTGATTTCTTTCATATTCTTAATTTTCTTTTTTCCCCTCCTTTCTTTCTCTTCACTTTTTAACACTTTTCCTACTTCTCCGTCCTTTTTTTCTTCTTCTTTCTCTTCTCTGAATTCTCCTCTTCCGTCTTTTTTTGTCTGTTTCTTAATCATCTGATCCATATTACTATCAGCCTCACTTTGATAACGATTTACTTTGTTGCTCCTCGCGATAAAAGGTGTTCGCAAAAAATTAAATCGACGTAATTAACAAAGAAAAAACATCCCCTGCATTGGACAATTATCAAATGGAAAAGATAAATAGAAGAAGATAGAAAAATTATACAACGACAAAATTAATATGTTATTAACAATGAAGGCAGGCGCCATTTTTTTATGCAGGCAGTGTAAATAAACATTGAAATAGTTTTATTTGTTAATTATTATTGGATACCAAGTTATTATTATTATTATTTACATAAATGATTATATTTATTTGTAAATTAGTGACATACTATATATATATATATATATATATATATATATATATATATATATATGTGTGTGTGTGTGTGCGTATGCGTGTGTGTGTGTGTGTGTGCATGGATAATATATTTATTCTTTGTATAAATTTTAGCTATGTTATTTTACATCGAACACTGTTTTATTATCACTATCAACACTCATTGTGCACTATCATATATATATATATATATATATAGAGAGAGAGAGAGAGAGAGAAAGATTTTAATGTATGCAATATTTATGAGCAATATCAGGAATAGAACGTGTGTAAATATAAGAGAAGCCACTGAGTATGTCTGTGTCTTGAATATATATATATATATATATATATATATATATATATATATATATATATATATATATAGTTTTGTTTACAGATTTACAACGCTATATCACGCAAATTAATTTTTAAAATGGGTGACAGTTTCATAAAACCAAAACAGATATTTATTTTTTGCATTTAATTTTTTTTTATTAAAATGCTCTTTTCAAGAGTATACAAATTGTGTTTGTGCGCGTGTTCATGTGTGTATGTGTTTGTGTTTGCGTGCGCACGTGCATGTGTGGTGTGTGTGTGGTGTGTGTGTGTGTATCTGTTTATGTGTGTGTAAGCAAAAGTGAAAATAATACCACTGAGTAGCGAAATTTGCTATGTCTGTTCTGCTTGTAGCAGTTCATGGCTGTCCACAAATTCTTATATCCTCTGTGGTACGTTACACCGTCTTGGGAAAGATAGTGGAATAGAATTCTCTTTACTTTCACCACATTTATATATATATATATATATATATATATATATATATATATGTGTGTGTGTGTGTGTGTGTGTGTGTGTGTGTGTGTGTGTGTGTGTGTGTGTGTGTTAATACAAATATAAAATTTGTCACTTAACTGATTCATCTTATATTCAGCACGCCGACTCCAGAGTTTCGTAGACGAACCTTTTTTGCAATCGTTTGGTCCACTCGCCAGGAGGTATCAGCAAATGTTTGCTGATTTTCTCATTTTTTGTTATTTTTTATGTTTGTGTATGTGTGTTTGTTCTCCATTGGCTTCTATGCTGATAAATAATAATTCTATACTTTGTCTGTATTTGAAAATTTGTTTTTTTTTTGTTTTTTTTTTTGTTTATTTGTTTGTTTGTTTGCGTGTATATGTCTATGTGTAAGGGGGGGATGTCATGATGCATGTTGTTAAATGCGAATTTCAACTTCCGTGCCTTTACAGAAATGCAACAGCGATCAATACCGAATTCGCAACCATCACCCTTCTTCCGCCCCCCCCCCGACACCAGTTTCACTTTAACCCCCACCACCACCACCAATGTATTTCAATATTTATCTTATATAACTGCGTGTACATCACTGACGATTGATTCATAACAGCAAATGTAAATTGTCCACAATGTGTCGAGAGGGCGTTGTCATGTTTGTGGGTGTTTGTAAGACAAGACCAAGTCTATTCGTTAAGTGACCGACAGGGGGAGCGCATATGTACTTGCAATATTTACACCAATGTATATGATTTATGTTTCGCGCCTAATTACTTTCTGCGCATAATTTATTTGCATCGTCATCAACGTGATGAAACCATAACAAAACTTACAAGTCGTTCTGTTTGGGTGCCATCTATTATGAACACTATGCCAGTACTCACAAGAGTTTTAGGTCATTAATTATACAACGATGGAGAATTGCTTTAGAGGCCTTCTATTCTTTCCTTAACCCTTTCGATCCGAATGGAATAGCTATGTCCCAAGAAAATATATCTTAACTAGCAGCATGGCCCGACGTTGCCCGTGCTTGATTCAAAAATCGTACGACTCATACAGCAATCGCTATCACTTGACTTAAAATATTTTGCCCTTCCTTGCCTTTAAAGGAGTGCCCTTTGCCATGCTGATGTTGCTACATGCCTTACTTCTTGCCTATCTCACACTGCGAATTTTTTCTAAGCTCTATACTAAACATTAAATCTGTTACGAAAAAAGAACTAAACAAAATGAACACAAAACGATCAGCTTTAAAAAAGGACTCGTAACTGGAAAAACGGAATGAAAAAAGAATGTTAACAAAAATACATTTTCACACCCAACCCAGTTCTGCGGAATCAGAATCAACGTTGAGTTTAAGCAAGCGAATGAGCCAATTGGAGTAAAGTGCCATACAGATTTAAATTTTTCCCACTTTTGACGAATGCAGCTATCGATTTTTTTTGCATGCTAGCATGCTAGTTAACATTCGTGTCAGTCAGCTGTTGGCTCTCACGCTGGCCAATAAAATCTTCCTGCCTATCCGTGGCAGCCAGCTATAGACTCTCACTCTGGTTAGTAGAAAATGGCCGCAAACTACATGAAAACTGCCGTAGAAGCATGAATAAAAATAGATTATTTCCACTATCGATGAGAGTTGGGAAATGCAAAGTCGGTCTTGGCCTTCCCACTAACTTGGAGCATGTGCATGTAAATTTTGGTGCAAATCTGTCGAAAATTGCGGCAGTGCATTCGTTACACACACACACACACACACACACACATCCTGCCTTTTATAGAGATACACACACACACACACACACACACATCCTACCTTTTATAGAGATACACACACACACACACACACACACACACACACATCCTGCCTTTTATAGATGGAGATAATCCATGTTCTGTCTGAAAGGATGAGAAGGTTATCATTATTTACACAATTTATATTCGGACTATTTTCCTCATCTTTGATGTTATCGTCACAGCATCTTAGCCGTTGTACTCTCCGACCTTCCTCACGTGTATATCTGTTGTAACCTATAAAATGTTACTGAATGAGAAATAATCAAAACGGACGTTGGAAATGAAAATGGTAATCTTTATAACATCAACAAAATACTATCTATCTATCTATCTATCTATCTATCTGAGTTTATTAATATCTGTCTGTATGTCTGTCTGCTCATCTGTCCATCTATCTAACTGTTCATCTCTGTGGCTCTCTCCCTTTCACTATCTATCTATCTATCTATCTATCTATCTATCTATCTAACTCTGTTCATTATCTATCTATCTATCTATCTATCTATCTCACTCTGTTCATTATCTATCTATCTATCTATCTATCTATCTATCTATCTATCTATCTATCTGTTGTGACCTAGAAAAGGTTACTGAATGAGGAATAACCAAAACACAGGTCGGAAATGAAATGTTAATCTTTACAACATCAACAAAATACAATACTCGCCATCGGCGTGAAGTAGGTAAACCACTGCAAGTTGTGGACTACTTAGGCAGCATATTACCCCTACTTACAATAGTGTCCAATGTATTTATGAGGATTTGGATATACCCATTAGTGTTCATAGGTACGGCATGTAAAACTATTTATCTATGAAACTAAAATATCTCTTTCAAAGCAAATTAAAGTCTCTCTGTCTCTGTCTCTCCGTCTCTCTCTCTCTCTCTCTCTTTGTCTCTCTGTCTCTCTCTCTCTATCTATCTATCTATCTGAGTTTATTAATATCTGTCTGTCTGCTCGTCTGCCAATCTATCTATCTGAGTCTGGTCATCTCTGTCGCTCTTTCCCTCCCTATCTATATATTTATCTTTCTATTTATCTATCTCACTCTGTTCATTATCTATCTCTATCTATCTATCTATCTATCTATCTATCTAACTATTTATCTATCTGTTGTGAGCTAGAAAAAGTTACTGAATAACCAAAACGGTGATTGGAAATGAAATGGTAATCTTTATAACATCAATAAAATACAATACTCGCCAGCGGCGTGAAGTAGGTAAACCACTGCTACTGGTGGACTACTTAGACAGCATATTATCCCTACTTACAATAGTGTCCAACGTATTTATGAGGATTGGGACATACCCATTAGTGTTTAGAGGTACGATATATAACAGTCTTGTATCTGACCCCTAAGTTCAACCTGAGAAAGTCAGAACAGAGATACACTTCCCCCTAAAAATAATAGCCTGCTAAACTGTTATTTAACACCTCCACATGGAAGTCTGTTCCACAAAATAGTGAAAAACCTGAGTGGAACTTCTTCCTTACAAATGGAATACGGGGAAAATCGGGGATGGTTCAACTCCGAAGGTGTATCATGGCGAGACAGCTGTGAAGGTCTGAACTGCTGGAACTAAAAAATGGAGCTTATTTAAGCAGTTGCCATGGAAACAGCAATTTGGTCTCAAATTCTTCATCCAGTGATAGCAAATTCTTCCCTATGTCGGCCGGTCACGTGCACATGCGTCATAATTGTATAGTTGGAGGTCACGTTTTTTGACGCTTAACCTTGGGCTGATCCTCGAATACTTTTCTTTGATTACTCCTTGTCCTTTGTTGTTCGAAATATAGTATTTGCTGTAGGTGTCTTTCGTTCTTCATTTTAAAAATATGTCCTATCTAATGAATTTTTTCCTTTATTGCAGGTGAGAAACCTCACAAATGTTTGGTGTGTGGCAAATCTTTCAGCCAGTCGTCCAATCTTATTACTCACAGTCGGAAACACACTGGCTACAAACCCTTTTCATGTGAGCGATGCGGACGTTCTTTTCAACGCAAAGTTGACCTGAGGCGCCACATAGACACAAACCATCACCACCATTGACTGATATAGAATTGAACCAGACATCACTACACATGTGAACTTTTGCGGACATGATCTTTAATTCGTGCAGATGTAACCAGTTATTAATTCATTTAACGTTTCAGTGCACAATTATGAGGAAGGTTTTAAAGCGTGCGTGAAACTGCACCGATTTGAGCCGAGTGGTCAAAGTACCGTTCGTAGCTCAAAATACTTTCGGAGAGAATTCGATATCTTGTTTAGAAAAGTTGCAGAGACTTTATGATGCTTCGTCAGAAGACCAACACCAAAATTGAATGAAATGTGCAACGGGTAAGTGATTGCCATGACAGGATCACGGAACTTTAAAGATAATTTTTCAGCAGCAGCAAGCGTCAACATTGTTATCATCGCCTTAAAACCTATTTCATCTACATGTGGAACTATTTGAAAGCCTTAAAAGCGCACGACTCTTCTCACACGCAAAAGAACTGTTCATCTAGTCGCTAAAGGATAATTACCATTTGAGAACAACCACGAATAATCGTAAAATTAAAATTTCAATGGATTTGAAATGAACTGAATGTGGATTGTATTGCAAGAAATAAAAAAAAAAAGTTATCATATCAAAATCAGCTCGCGCACACACATACATATATACATATTTTTTTTAAGCATTTCACCTCCAAGAAAAGGCGGGAGTGCCACTAGTACACAGGGGGTTACAGAGATTCAAAGTGAAAAGACTGGGTATAGTTGTGGGAGTGAGGAAAGAATAAAAAAGAAGAACGCAGATCAAGGCATCAGAAGATGACGATTGACGTTGCATTTAAAATTTTGAAGATTGTAATTATCAGGGAAGCAAGTAAGAGGAAGGGAGTTCCACTGCCGGGAATATATATATATATATATATATATATATATATATATATATATATATATATATATACATACATAAATACATACATATATATATATATATGCAATACTGCTTACTTTTATCACATAAATATAACAAGTTTTAAACAACACACACACACACATATATATATATATATATATATATATATATATATATATATGAGGACACTGAGGGCAACACCGAAGGGAGATAGTCTCTTTTTATGTTTGAACGTAATTTTCAGGTCTGATGATGGCGTTGAAACATGAAACAGGCAGTCGTCACTCAGTGTCACCCTCGAGACCACTTTGATATTTACAAACGCTATATCCTTGATATTGAACACTTTTACCTATAAATATAGCATACCTTAATATTATATTCTAATCATATATATATATATATATATATATATATATATATATATATATATATATATATATATATATATATAAAATATTTGTGCACCAACCTTTATGCTACCACGGTTTCTACCAGAAGGGTTTAATCAAGTAAAAACCGTGGTAGAATAAATATTGGCGTTTCAAATCTTTCATATCTTAAATTGCCCTACATAAATAAAATTATTTGAAGGAGAAACTGAGGAAATAATTTTTTTTAATTTTTTAAACTTAATATAGATTAAATTTAAAATTTAAAATTGGTAATTTGTAATTTTGGGATTTTATAATATAATTTAATATTAATTAGTTAGAATGAATTCAATTTTAGTCTAACCCTAACATTAAAGCATTAAATAAATACTATAACCAAAATTCGTTGTCAAGTTTTTTGAATTCACATATTTTGATTGGTCATTGCAGCTTATGTAACAGAGTTTCCCCTAGCGAGGCGTGTTTGATTTGAATCTTTTAAAACCCTTTATTCCATATTCAACACCATCACTTGAGAAGACACCAGAAGTATTGAAACAAAATGGCTATTTTTGAAGTGATTTTATAACATATTTATGTTATAATTTTCGAATATATAATTATATATATATATTAAAACTGTGAAAATACGTGAAAATTGCGTGAATTTAACGTGTTTTTTCAGCTTTGCAAAATTTCTGCCAAAAAGCGCTCTATAGATAACGAGAGCTATATAATATTCTGTAAGTAAATTTATTCGTTAATAATATTTATCGAGGAATTGTAATATGCGATAAATATGTCAAAATACTTATTTGCCGAAAATCGAAAATATAAAATATTAAAATATATAAAATATTAAAACAAATTGAATCTACAATTAATGTTAAAAAAATAACTAAATAAATAACACAGAAATAAATAGTTAAATATTCTTCTCTTGCTGATAGGTTTTTATTTACTCCTGTAGCAGTGGAGACTTCTGGGGTTATTGGCCCTAGTTCGATGGCGTTCCTTCGGAGGATTGCCGCGATTGCATCTCGATTAAGGGACGAGCCTCGCAAAACGGAGTGGCTCTTGCAGCGTGTCACAGTGGCGATGGTTCGAGGGAATGCTTTCTCCATCATTGCGGCTGGTAGAGGATAGTAAAAAAAGTCTCATCATATATATATATATATATATATATATATATATATATATATATATATATATAAAAAGAAGGAACGCAGATAGATTAAGAATCCACAGTTCTTACTTTTTTTTTTTAAATGTGCTCAATACAACGTGGAGCAAATTATTATTATCTTTTATTATAATATTTTACATCACTGCACAAAAACTTTCCTGATTCGGAACTTTAAAATTGTCCCTCATCGGGCGATGGTACATAACTTATAACCGATGAGGGACAATTTTAAAGTTCCGAAACATGAACGTTTCTGTGTAGTGGTGTAAAATATTATAATAAAAATATTATATATATATATATATATATATAGTTTAAATTGATATATATGTGTGTGTGTGTGTGCGCGCGTGTATATGTGTGGGTGTGCGGTTTAAATTGCTCTACAATTTATATCTTTTGAATTCATATTGTGAGCTTTTCACTGATTTAATCGTTTTTGACAAATATTACATAATCTTCAGATTTGAATTTTGAAATATATATATATATATATATATATATATATATATATATATATATATATACATATACTACAGTTCAAAATTTAAATTTATAGTAATTTTCTAGATTGGGCCAAAAAGTAGTTTTGCACTTTAAATAAGAGAAAATTATTAAACATGATTAAAAAGTGAGAGATGATGTTTTATTAATTATTTTATCATGACAAAAAGAAATAAAAAAATTATGAAATTTTGCTCTCGTCAAAATATCCTCCTCTAGCCTTAATTACTGCTGCACAAATGTTTGGGATTTGTTGCAAAAGTTCCTCAAAATATAAGTTTGGCAATTAATTCCATTCTTTTTTCTAAGAGTTCTTTTCATTTTTTTTTTTTTCCACTCTTCTGCCAAGTTAATATATATGGTATATTCTGGGGTATACTTCAGACTTTCATATGAACTGTAGTATAAAATATTGATATATATATATATATATATATATATATATATATATATATATATATATATATTTACCATATATATATATATGAGTTTCGT